TTTTGCCAGGGGGGATTTTCTTGAGCTCTTAACATTTCATTTGTTCTGTACTTTCCCAGGAGTTCTGGGGGGTATTAATATTATACCAGTTTTTTTAATGTCCAAGGTTTTTTTTTTTGTCCTCTGCATATTGGGTGAAGATAATAGTTTTTGCTTTCCGCTTTCTGTAAGTCGCACATAACGACGGCAAGAAATATGGTTTTTAAATGGTCATGGTTCTGAGATTAACACCGTTTCCTAAAATTATTGAGAGGAAACATTTTTTCCTGCAAAATTTCTGCACCCGATTGATTTCAAATTGGATGTTTAAAAATAACCCATTTTACTCCTGTGATGTGAATTTTCAGTGTGTTTTTTTCAAGTTATAACATCAGCTTAAGTGTCAGTTTTCCTTTTAAAATGTGGCTTTCTTTCCTGAAAATAACTTCTGTGTTTAAAAGCCTAAAACCTCTGTTAGTATATTATTGAGAAAGCTGAGCTGTGCCTGGTAGCAGACGTGACAAAGTGTTCTCTTTACATGTTTTAATGCATTCTACAGTGATGATCTTCCTTTGCTGAAGATTCACCAGATTTATTTCAGTTAATTAAATAAATGCCATCAGTGTAATTTAGAAACACTGTTTGTTCTACTTTGCAATTTCCTCAAAATTCTGCTCTAAATAAACTATAAATACTATAAATATAGTAATACTAAAAACTTTTTGGGAGGATCTATCTAGTCTTCTGTGATGGTGTTCCCCCTCAGACAGCGAAGCCTGTCCTCAGTGTACTACAGCAGGTAGAAAAGGTGTCTGAGTAAACAGGCACTGATGAACAGGTGTGCAGCAGTCTCATTCCAGATCTGCCGATAAGCGCTCAGACATGTGTGAAGTAGACCGACTATTGCTTTCTCCTACAGTAGGGGCCAGTGGGGTCGACAAAGTACCGATTGCTGTATTCAATCAATATTCTGCCAGCATCTGAAAAGCATAATAATGAAGTCTTTTAATATAGCAGCACGGAATAGAACAGTTTATGCAGTAAACAGTTTGTTCATTTAAGTGTTTAATTTGTTTAATAATAATTATGCTTTTTATTTCTCAGGCCATTTAAAATGAGCAAGTCTTAACGGTCAGATGTTTGACTCACTGGCAGTCTATAGCGCATCAAAGCATGACTGTGGATATTTTAAAAAATGTCATACTGGCACATTTGTAAATGGGGTGTGCGTTAGAAAGTCAGAAGGTGATTAAAAGGATTCTGGTGGATGAAACATGACGGCCTACTCCAGAACCACTTCAGAAACATATTCCTTGCTATATGTCTGAACAATCTATAGCTGCAGTCAGAATTTGTATTTTTTCCTATGTGGGAAAGAATCAGTTTATGAAAGACTCATACAAGCCTGTTTTAGGATAGGTGTGGTCAGCCCTGGCAAAGAGGTATTAAATAGTAAGACTCCGTGACTAACAGAGACAAAAATATACATTGGCTTCATGGTGATTGATACATCTGATTGGCCTCATTCAAGAGAGGAGGAAAATAAAAACTGTTGCGTGTTTTCTACTACACATTGATTTTGGATGTACCGCAGGCTTTGATTAAAACAACATACTCGTTAGGGAAGGTTAACATCTGGGTAGATTCGGAGCTGGAGAGGAGTGGAGGATGGGAGGAGAAACTGTCTGTGTTCTTGTAACGTGGGGAGCGGTGTTTCTCTTCCTCGTGCTTGATCAACTCGGACATGCTTTTAGAGATGAAGTAAGGTGCACCTTGTTTTCTCCTATCTAAGAATAACTGAGACCCAGTTCCAGTTGATGTTGTCCATGGTTGAAAGAGACATATGTAGAGTAGCTGGAGTTTTCCCCAACCCTATGTGGACAATCTGAAGACGCGCAGCACAGATTTTGGCCCCCAAGCAACAGGATGGTGGCACCTTGACTGGGTGTCACTAATTGGGGTGGGGGGGTCAGGTTTATTCTGCCAGAGACGGTGACTGTTTTTATTCATGTTTTTCTGACGATAGCAGTGCCCTGAAAAAAACCCCCGAGAATAATGTAGATTTGTTTTCAAATCTGAACCAATCGCCTATGAAAACTTATAACACGCATATTAGTGTCTTGATCTGTTTTCACGCGGGGAAAATGTAATTCATCAGCTTCACAGCAGATATTTCTTTTGCTCTTCTCCGGTGCAAAGCTCGGTGACATAGCGCTGCAGTCCGAGGCTGCTGGCAGGCTCTTACTCCACGAATGCGACCCTCTGGGGGCAGCGGCGCGGATGCGATAATCCTTTTGGTTTACAAGCTGAGAGCAAAGCTGCCGAAAAAAAAAAATCGCAGCATGCAGTCGCGAGGCGAGGTGAAGCACATGCAGAAAGCGGGTTTTTGAAACCCCGCTATGAAAGCATAACAAGGGGGAAATGGTTAATGAGAAAAGCACACCCCTTGGGCTTAAATCCGACAGGCTGTTAAACGGGGACTATTCCTCACCTCCAGAGCCAGAGAGGAAAAGAAACAGCCGTGCCGAGCAGAGCAGTTGTCAGCTTTTTTCTAACGTTCTCGAAAATCGCCATGAGCTCCAGCAGCTTTGACAGTGCGGTGATGAACGGGTTTCCCAGCCATCCCTTGCTTTCCTGTTGCTGCAGCAGTGTGTCTCCTGGCGTGACGCACAAGACTTACCCACACAGATTGACTCCTCCGTTCTTGTCGGGTTTTTTTACTGGTTTTTGCCCACTTTAGTGCTTTATCAATCCAATCACTCTCTTGTTTGGGAAGCTCCAGTTTTTTGATGCTGTTCGGTTTTATGATATATTTTCAGGCTGAAGGGCAGACTTTCAAAGTGGGGCACTTTTGCTCCATGGTTTTTCAAGTGGTTATCTAACATCTGTGGGACCGGTCAGCATCCTTACATCTAAGGATGGAGCAGAATTGAATTAATTCCAAATGAGAAGTCACTGCTGTGTCCTCTGCCTGACCTGTTGTTTTTTTTTCCCCGCTGATGTTTTTTGAGGGGTTAATATAAGGAAAACCTGTGTCACTTGAAGGCAGTTAATCAAAGTGTCCATTCTATAGGGGTTATTTTTACAGTGTAATGGGTGAAAGAGTGATGACCATGTCTTTTTGGATCAGGACATTTGAATCACATCAGGAGATCAATGGAAATGTCCCTCAGCTCAGAAAGCCAGCAGTACTGTTCGGATGGCTGTGAAAAGATTTTGGTGCAGTTTGTGATACATGTCATATGGGGTCCTGTTGTCGATCCTAGAAGGCTTGGTGTAAATCCAGGATTATAGAGATGATTCAAGTTCATTAATCATTGTCACGTCTAAATTTGTGGAGTGTGATGGGGGCACATAACATATTTCACGTTTAAATTTGTGAAAATGTTGAGAAAGGTAAGACTGAAATTCACGTGCAGACACTTCCCATGAGGTATTGAGTAAATCATTAACTGGGGCTTGCACTGGCAGGCTGGGTCAGGGCTGGCTGCCCCAGGAAAAGGTTTGCCCACTGTTGACTGCTGACTCCCTATCCAGGTTGCACACTGCCCAGAGGGCCATCAAGCAGACCCAGGTAACAGTGCAGAAGATTGGGAAGGAGATTGAGGAGAAGCTGAGGAAAACAGAAGCCTGCACTGAGAGGGTGAGTGGCACTGTGAGACGCCTTCTTTGAATCTTGCTGAATTAGTGAACACAGCAGGATCTTCCATTGAAAACATATTGAGCCTGTTTTGTAATGGGCTTAAGTCTTAGTCTGAATTTGGCCTTTTCATGAATGAAGTAAGGGCTACCTAGCGTTTTCAGTAATGAACGCTATCAAAGCCTGCGAACTGTGTGTTTGTGTCAGCACTGTGTTTCTTAAGACTACTTAACCTTTCAAGTGATACAATATTCATCTATTTGCGTTGAAGTCTTCATGTTTTTTGTGTATGTATTTCTGCTTCTGCAAGTTCTTTATCTAAACTCCTCATAAGCGGTATAAGGTGAGCATATTTAGCATTTCTCAAAATATGGACCCTATAGCTAGCAGCTGTGAAAACGCAGCTGTAAATCCGGAGTTTTAGGAATGCGTTTATAGTAAACAAAAACTATGGAAGCTTTTTTTTCTGTTATGTATTTTAATGCAGGTTCTAACATGTTTTTTAAGATGTCATATATTGCTATACACTGCCTTGTGGAGAGACGTGGTGTGTCTTAGGTGTTTTTTTCCTGCATTGACTCCAGACAGGACTCTTGCTTTCTAACCACAGATCCCCCGTCTCTGTATCCTGATAGGCAAAAGCTATTAAGCCCATTCTCTAGCCTTTACTAAAGCACACAGTACCTAGAAAATGTCTACACACCAAAGTAACATATTTTGTCACCTAACTGCTTGGAATCAAGACACGTTATATCAGAATTTCTTTGACCATTATTTACACATTGTAACACCTGACTTCAAGGTGAAACACAAATGCTCAGAAGTTCTGATAAGTGAGTACAAATGAAAACCTAGAAACATGTTTTTTTGAGCTTTTAACCTAGGGTATCCCTGTCTTGGTAGGGAAAAGCTATTAATCCCACTTTTCCGCCTTTAATGTACCATATACGTTTTGTTTCAACGCTGTGTCCCTGCCTAACTGGAACTATTGCTGATGAACACTGTAGTGTGCCTGAGAGGGATATCGAAAAAGGACCAAGGACGTGCCAGACTGAGACATCTCGAAAGCCCATTTCTTCCAGAGCAAGGGTGGCATTCTTCAATTCGTGCGAGCACCAGCTGCGGTTAACATGCAATTCTCGCATTCCTGGAGTATATGGATTTTAACACTTGGGAGATGTCGGCCCTATCTGCCTCTCCAGAGTGATTGACACCCTCTATTTTTATCCGGAGGGGCTTAGTTTTTATCAAGAATTCCATGATAAGAGGTTATCAGGGTTTACTGCTATCTCGGCAATGATTGCTATCAAATGACTTGGCTCATGTGTGTGACCACTGCTGCAGGCAACCGGGGAAATACAGTACAGGGTCCTTAAAAACAACACGGTTTGAATTTTTCCCCCTGCTGAAAAAGAGCAAGACTGGGATACGAAGCCAACACATTTCCGAAGCACTGCAAACCTTGTCCTTTCGGTAAAAAGAAACAAGTGTTTCCTCGTTTTGAGGTATGTGAGGGATTTCGTTACACATCAAACGACCCGAGGGGAAGACGATCACAGAATATGGACGATTTTCCTTTTTATGGAGTACTGTGGAATCCCATGCTGACAGTATCATAAAGGAACTGTAGTCAATCTTGTATGGTTTGAAAATAGTCCGCGTTTCATGTGTGAGTCCTGGACAATACATCTAAAGAGGTGGTATTGATGTGTTTCTATATGGATGCATGTTTTGCGTTTCTTGTGATGACTTGTATGCTTTCCCAAAATTATCTGCAGCTAGACCCCAGCAATTTAACTGAACCTGTAGCCAACCTGCTTCCTAACAGACACTGGCTCCGCAAGCAAGGCACCTCTGTGGTCTTCCTGTGATAAAACTCTCCTTGTCCCAGCTCTCTTGCTGCTGACTGTCCAGAGGGATAATGAGAGAGGCAGAATGTGTGCAGCTCAGAGGAAAGAAGCAAAGAAAACTTTCACTGTGACCCAGCGGGTCAGCTTTTCCCCAGATCCTTCTCGTTCTCTGGAAATGATCTTGTTGCCTTCACGGGACAGGCAGAAAAATGTTCCTGTGGTCCCGACATTCATCAGGGCAGCGGGATACTGATAGAGCTTTGCTCCTTCACAGGGTCCCGACAACCTCGTCCCCTGAAGATGATAGTTTCAGATCTGCCAAGTCTCCCCCCCCTCCCCCCCCATCTCCTTCTGAACAATAAATAGCTAGAGGTGGCAACCCCCAAGCATCTGGGATAGATCGACTTCAGCATCTGCCTCTTCCGCCTGAGCTGATAAATTTTGACAGGTATCTTAAGGGTCAAGGGGATGAAGCCTTTTATTAGATCATATATTAGATCATCTCCTCATCCCCAGAACATCATGTAGCCAGACGTGCTCAGAGCAGTACACCCAAGAGCAAAAAAAAGTGACCAGGAAAGAGCAAACGTGCCCTTCGGAATTATGCTCGAGTTTGTGATTTGTTAGGAAGCGTATTGTGGTTCTTTGTTAAACTCTGAAGGGCTGGCGGACGAGCAGAAGACACCTGGCAGGACATTTTTCAAGGTTAGCCCTCAGCCTGTTTGCTTTACTACAGCTAAAATAAAACATTTTCCAAGACTTTAATCATTGGTGAAAGCTTCTCTTAGAATTGTACACCCAGTGTGCTCACATGTGGGCAATTTACCGTAAGTAAAGGATGAGGCTGTTTTCCAGTTTTCTTCAGATGCTGGTCAATTTGAAAATATATTGAAAATATATATTTTACATCTCCCTGCAGGCAGCCTCCTTTAAATAGGCTTCCCATTTCCCACCGACTCCTACTGCTCCCGAATGATTTAAACTTATGGTCAGCGTGTAGTGAAAACAGGGCCATCCATAAACCATGTGCTTCATACTTAGAGTCCCTCCTGACATCCCTTCTGACAAATGCCCCCTCGGTTATATAATAAGATTTGACAGTAGAATGAGCAGACCCTGTGTGTGAAAGGTTAAATGTTCATGAAGGAAAAACACTGAAAAGCTGTTGGTCTTGAGCCCTGTCACCAGTTAAGCTAGGCGTTTCTCTTACACTAGGCTAGTGTGTGAGAGAGCCGGTCTTCTTCTTTACTGTAAAACCAGAGGATTCATTCAGTTCCAAAGAAATTGTCTCAGTTGGTTTTAAGTTCCAAATAAATGACTCCAGTGTTTTTAAAGCAGCGTGAATATTTAAAAATGCCAAGTGCTCTCCAGGCCAAGGAGCCTGGAATGTTTGTGGAAAAAGAAAGACAGCTCTGTGTCCTGCCTGTTATGTTCTAGGTTTATTCTATTTATATGATGTGTGTTTTCAAGTCTGCGTATCCAAAAACAGTATCGTTTCGGGGTAAGGTTTTTCTGGAAACACTCATGAGAACATTTACAATGGAGGTGAGGCCATTAGACGCATCTAAGCATTTGGCCGTTTGTATCTAATTGATCCAAGGATCTCATCCAGGTGTTTCTTGATACAAGCCAGAATGCTGGCTCAGACACGATGCCAGCAGAGCCTGCGTCTTTCCATTATCTCTTTTAAACATCCAGAGACAACCTAGCAACTGTAGGCTGCAAAGGAACAAGTCAAAGGTTTATTTCGTGCTGAAAAGAGAAGAAAGGAAACGCAACGTTTCGGCTGTGGAGCCTTCTTCGGGTTTCAACTTGGCACCCTAAGAAGGCTCCACAGCCGGAAAGTTGTGTTTCCCTTCTTATCTTTTCAGCACGAGATAAACCTTTGACTTGTTCCTTTTCAGTCTACGCATGCTGACGCAGCTCCCTACTTGAACTGTAGGCTGTGCTCTCTGGTAACACCCTGTTCCAAGTAAATTCTCCGTAATAATCCGTTAAATTAGATATCCTTTGGCTTTGCATTTTTTTTTTGAACAGGTAGGCCCCGTGTGCCCATAGGCAGGTGGACGCAACGGGCCGCATTCGCGATCGAATGGTCCGGTTTTGGCGCGTGGCGATGGAGCCGCGCCGACGCGTGCGGCGTGCCCGAGCTGTCCCAAGCGGGGGGGAACGGCGGTGGTTGAGGCCGGCGGCGGAGGACTAACGGTGTGTGTTTTGGCAGAAGAAGGAGCGGGAGTGCATCCAGTTGCGGATCGGCGTGCTGCGTAGCGAGCTGGAGCGGCAGAGGAGGGCGCTGGGGCGAGAGACGGACTTCCTGCAGAAGGAGAGGGCCGCGCTGCAGAAAAAAGGTACAGCGCGCCGGCCCTGTCCTGCCCGCCGCCGGCCCCGCGGCCCGCCTGGCTTCGACGCGACCGGCGCCTCCGGGTCGGGCACGACGACAAGGGAAAGGAGCGGCTGGGGGGGATTAAGCGCCTTGGATCGAAGAGGAGATGCAGGGTTGGCGTCTGGGCTGGAAAAGAGAAAGAACTTCGTAACTTCGTAACTTCGTAACTTCGTAACTTCGTAACTTCGTAACTTCGTAACTTTGTAACTTCGTAACTTTGTAACTTGGTTACTTGGTCACTTGGTCACTTGGTCACTTGGTCACTTGGTCCTTGGTCCTAAGCCGCCTTGCCTTAGGGACTTAGGCAGCTGTCCAGAATAGTAAGAGTGGCCACTAAGGGCCTGTTCCTGAGAAAAGGTAGATGGGTACTGGAGTGGAAAACAAGGGAGTGTTTTAACACTTAGCGTTTTAAAAATGGAGGCGTTGGGCCCCGGGTCTGTCTCGCGCTGTCCCGCAGGTGGATTGTGGTCCTTGAGCAGCCCGTCCCGACACACACACACACACAAGCACAGCAAGCTTCAGGGGGGGTAAACCGGTCAGCCCAGGAGTGAAGTGGGGGGTGGGCGGCATCAGGTAAGGGGGTCGTTTCCCAAGCTGGCTGGCTTGCAGAGGGGATTGCGTTTATCCTGTAAAGCACACGTCCGATCCGATCTCCAGGCGGGAGCAGGCGGGTGGGAGCCCTTTTAGCTCAGAAGCCCGGTTGTCTCTCCCCTCTCCCTGGTCGTCTCTGCCCCCCAGCGTTTCACGCGCTGCGAGGCTCAGCGGGTGACTTCAGCACTGGGGCATCCTGTTTCGCATCAGCGCCGCCTGAGCTGCTGTCCAGATCCTTTCCATATTTCCTACTGAGACGCAGAGCAAGATCACGTTTAATAAGATGTGAAACTGCAGTTAGGAAAGTTGACACAGACTGCCAGCCTTTTGCAGAGCTGCTTATGTATATACAAGGTTTTATATTTATATAAAACATTTTTTTCTTGTTTTAATTGTGAGCAACACACTTTTATATATATATTTAAGTCATTTAGGGTTTTTCCTTTTTTATTTGATGAGTTACAGTACATCTGCCATGCTTTGCCAGAGATAGAGATAAATATTGGACTATTCCAGCAGTGTCAAACTCATATGCTATAGTGGAACAGGTTTGATTTAATTGTAGTTAAACAGGCTATACTGTATATAGTAAACCATAAAATATCTAAATTCCAGGGACAACCATCACATAGTATTACTTTTTTTTACCTTTAAAATGCAATTAGCAGTCACTGTGTCTTCACTAGATGGTTACTCTCTGAGGAAGGGATGTTTTAGCATTATTAACCATAATTAAAACATCAAAGTCTTGATAATTGTACCCTAGGTAAATCTCTGTTCTATTTAAAAGAATAGTGTCATGATATTGTTCTACAACTATAGGAATGCTCAACTTACAATTTTTTTTTGCTTTTTGCTAAAGAACACATTTATTTTAATACCTGTGTTGCAAAATGCAAAGCCATTTTCACCATGATGACGGCATCTCATTTGAGATTTTGTTTACCTAGTAAGTTTTAGCTTTGAATATCCTCCTTTTAGCATCGAATATCCTCCAGCTTTTTTAACAGAAAAACTTATTGCTGATGGTTTTGTTTTACAAAAGGAAAAAAAAGACTTTCTTCCTGGCTGTAAAACGTGAAGTGATAAAAAGACAGGTGCTCAGAAACCATTTGCAAAGCTATGCTGTGAATATGTACAACAGTTTAGAATTTTTGCACATTTTATTTGTACTACAGTTCTATGTGCAAATGACAGTATCTTGCACATGCTATAGTGCTCTTAGTTTGACATTTCAGTATCTTAGAGTAGAAATGAGTAATACTGCAACATATTGTATATCATGTATATCGCTGGAACAAATCAAAAGCTTTTACATTTAAATTCAATTTGCATTATACTTTCCTTATGTGAAATTTCACATCGCAGACGTTTTTTGAGGAATGAATTATGAGAGCCGAGAGGAGGGTGTATATCGGTTGGTAAACAGCCGGATTGAAATGCAGTCCTGAGCGGACTCTGAGATTCATGATTAGCATCACCAGTCAATTCTGAGTGAGTGACAGACACTGTCAGTACCATTGATGATAAGTGAGCAGCAGCTAGCCTTGTTTAGTGCATTTAGTAGAATTGTAGTGTTTTTTTCCAAGGCAAAGAATTGACAAAAGACATGGTTAAAGGGATGTTATGTGGCATAAAATGCAGAACACTATCCGGCTGCTATCTGCAATCTAAAAACAAAAAATCACTTCTACAGCTATGGCTGTTTCTCTTTGGAGAGCAGCTACCTGTTGCATACAAATCCAGCAAGATGGCTTACCATTCACTCCCATGAAGAAATATTAATTTCCCACTTTTCTAGAACCACACCACCATTTTTTTTCTTTAACAACATCATTGTAAAGCCCTTATTATAGTGTTCAGGAATTTTCTTTTGACATGATAAAGCACACGAGGTACAGTTTGAGTGAGACCAGTGGTGGTTCAGTTGCTTGGAGGTTTGGAATTTTCCTTTCTTTGGGGTTTTGAAGGAAGTGAGTTTACAGACTTGAGTGCAAAGACACGTGATGTCACACTAGATTTGTGACATCACCAAAGGGGAGCGCTGTGATTGGATAGAGTTAGAGAATAGGGAGCGCGTGTTTGCGAGACTGGGACAGTATCATCACTAAGGGCTCCTGCTTCATGTGTGGATTATGTGTGCTCAGACTAGAATTGATGGCTCTGATCTCTTCTGTCACACATTTTGGACAAAAGGTCTACCCCGTGGATCGTATACTGTATACTGCGTAGCACTGTGTATCATGTACTTTAGATGCAAAACACAATTAATGTGTATTGTTTTCTTTGCTTTTTCATTTACTTTTAAATTAAAAACATTAACATCATGAAGGTGATAAAGGAGATGATACATGCAATATGCAGCCAAATAAAAGAACCAAGATTAACTGTGATTCTGATTCAGCTATTTGATTCCTGTAAAATTGGCTATTAGTATAACAACTAACAATCAGCTAGTAATTACTGTACATCCATTTCCTCCATTTGGATGCATCAACAAACTTTAAAATAGCTGTAGGTAGGTTTTCTTCCCCCCAGAATTCCTTTCATTATACTTAGCTTCACGTAAGTATTGCTTAGCTTTTTATGTTACATTTTGGAAAAGGAAATGGGCTTTAGAAATCTGAGCTTCGTCATCTGTAAGATGTATGTTTTTTTTTGCTAGTGAGGTTTATTGCCACATATCCTTTCTGTCCACGGGGAAATAAAATTTTTCGTAGCTGGGTTCATATTTTATATTACAAGGCACACCCACTGCTCTTTCAAGGTGCACTTTTATAGACTCCTGGCTTGAGTTTCCATCAGCACTGTAAGCGGTCTCACAGGCCAAACGGTGAGTGTGTACGACTGTAATATTAGTCTGCCATGTGTGTTCTGAGGCCAGCCTCTAGGTGTGTCAGATATGTTTGCACACATTTCAGATCTCTCGGTACCATGGTGTTAATGACGTATTGCTGTTACACAGTGGTATACACTGCATCTATATTTTGGATGGTATTGTGATTTGCGTATTACACTGTGGCTGGACTGTGGATGACCAAGAGCCACATTCTCTGGTCTTTGCAGAAGATAACTACTTCAAAGTAAGCTCAGGGTTACCCTGCATCTAAGGAGGTTAAGCTTTGCTGACGTGCTGCAGAATTTAGAATAATTCTTACAGTCTACTTGTGGCCCAGCCTTTTGGTCCCCTCAGTATCACAGTTACGATATCTGTTTGAATCTGTTAAGGTCTACAATGTACTGTAAAAGGTGTAGTTTGAAGTCAGGAGATTTCTGTGTGAGAGTTCCTAAAAGGCTCTTTCTTCTGAGGGGAAAGATTATTCATCTTGGAGCAATTTTGCTTTAGAAACAAATAAATCTCTGTGTGAGTGTGATGGGACTGTTGATCTGCTTTTGCTGTCACAGAGTGGAGAGAGAAAATGGGCCTGATTTACAGAAAGTCCTATGATTTATTTAGAGCCAGCAACAGATGATAGCTGCTTTTGGCTGAGCACGAGAATCGGAGAACAAGTCGTTTTTTAACATGGTTTCCAGCATTTTCTTTATCTTTTCGTCTCCTTGTTCATACAGTAGGCTTCATATTGTCTAAAATTCCTTATTTTTTATTTATTTATGCTCTAAAACTGTCCTGCTGCAAGGTAGATTGAGTCTGGTACACGTTTTAGCAGAGGAGCCTGTGCAGTGATTCTTTATACAGTATAAAGACTATGTGATACAGTTAAGGAGCTGCTGTGAGAACAGTTTCATTCTTTGGGTACATAAAGGTCCTTCACTCACATCACAGTAAAATACTGTACAAATGGGTAAAAATGCTAGAGCATGAAAGCATGAGAAAAATAAATTATTAGTAATACCAAATACTAGACGGATTAAATTCTTATTAATTTTCTCTGTGGTTTGCAAGAGAGTTGACAAAGGCAGAAATGAAAATAGCTGAAGTCCCACTCATTTTTGACAGATTTCTAGCCTCAGTATAAAATGTTTCATTCTTTTTCTTTTGTAAAACTGGCCCCTGTGATATAAGTTCCGAAGATCTAACTATACGACTGAAAGTTTCAAGCTTAAGGTTAAAGCTAATGAATCAGGTGAAGCTGTCAGTCAGAATGTGAAGCATCAACCTACAGTAGGAGTTTAGAAGAATCTTTGTTGCAGGAAGCAAATCCTCTACTAGAGGAGTGAGAACAGACAGCCTGTTGATTCTGTTAACTAGGGCACCAGAGGTTTGGGCAATCCGGACATACTGTAAGGGAACTAGTTCTATATAATAGATATTAAACCAAAAGAGCAGAACCTGGAAGAAATTCTTTAGCATAATTCATACCAACTCTGGCTTTTTATTCCGAGACAGTTTGCTGAAACATGTTCATTCTGTTAAGATACAGCTGAAACGAATATGTTGTGCGAGTCATGGGTTGGTCCCAATTTTTTTTGTCCCGATAGTTGTCCCTGCTTTAACTTAATTTTCAATGGAATCTGAGCATCATAGCTATAAGTTAAAACAATGAAGTCTTGGTGCATTTATTTATTTTTTCTCTGTCTTTACTATGTCAAAGCAAATGAGCATCACTTGTTGGGTTACCATGGTAAGAATTGCGTTTCTAGAATAGAAGAGATTTATATGGGTGGAGGACGGGCAGCTCTGGACTCCTCGTCTGATGAGTGTGTAACACTAGATTATTCTCATCCAAAGTGATGTCTCTTCTACAAACACTAACATTTTAAAAGAGCAGGCGCGGAAGCAGAATTGTTTTATCTTTAGGATGGAAAGGTTGATTGAAAGGGTTTGATGTGTAAGGCGGATGAGTCAAGAAAAAATAAGCAATTTATTTTCCTGATTTGAATTAGAAATGAAGAAACCGCATCTGTGTCCAGCTGTCTCAATTGCCTCTAAATATACAGTACTATGTACAGTACCAGCCTTCTTCTGAATGTTGTTCTGTGTCCAGGATCGTCCCTGAGATGTTACAACAAGATGGTAAAATAAAGACTTGAATTACACTCAAGATACATTTAAGACCAGGCAAAATGACATTTGTAACAAATACAGATTGTAGTGAACAAATACCCCTGAGGTACAGCTGTGTTTGTGTGAATTTGCTTTCATGTATGCCTTAATATTTTGTGTCCCTCTCTGGTGACTGGTGTAGAGTTTGACATCCTTAACATGAAGTCACAAGTGAGAATGGAATGAGGGGGTGTTCGTTCTTGAGATTTTTCTAAAAGAAAAAAGGCTAAAAGAAAAAAAAGAAATGAGCTTTGACTGAAAAATGAAAACAGCATTTATTATTGCTGAAAAATAACATCTCGAGTGCGGGATGACATCTCCAAGCATTCCACACAGGTTAGGCCTGCATTATTTGTTTGGTTTGTGCTTTGAGCCACTTTGATGTAATCGCGCAGGAGCTGAGTGTTGGTACATAAAAGCACCAGTACACAGAAGGAGCATGCAGGCACAGGGGATGTCATCTTTGAACGCCCTTTCAAGTCAGAAGTTGCCTTGAAGTAGTAATCTGTATCTTTTCTTTCCTAATCTGATGGAGATTCCTCTCTTATGGTATTTTTGGCCTTGCAAATTGCTTTGACAGGTAACAAGCAAATACAATTTAGCTGCATCATTCAAACCAGCCACTTGTTTCTGGGTGGAACAGCAGTCAAGTTATGACTGAGACTGTTCTTTGCTTTTATTAAAATTGGTGGAGCTCTTTCTTTTGTCTTTTAACTCTGCTTTTGTAGCTAAAAAAAGCAGCAATATTTTTCTTAGCTGCTCTAATGTTACATACAGCGGACTTCCTTCTTTTCTTCCCCCTTGATAAAAACAGCAGAAGTCTGAAACTAATTAGACGATGTAATGCTATACTCTTCTTTCCTCTTTTTTTATCTGGATCTTATTTTTCACTTTGCGAATATAGTTGTGTTTTAGTACAACCTTGTTTCCTTGCGTTAATTCCCTTTCCAAGGGATGGTTTAAAGTCCAAGACAAAATTGCTTGCTTTCCTGTCTAAACTATAGAGAATCAGGCAAATGGAGAGCATTAAAAGCCATATCTACATGTCTGTATTAAGGCTGAATAAAAATAAAGCAGAATTGAAAAATAATAAATGGTTATACTGTATAAATAATACTAAGATATATTCGTACATTGCAAGAAACAGGCACCGTCTAGTTTGTTTTTTTTGGATAATTTGTTGAAGTTATGCAAGGTTTGCAAGTAATTAAGAGTTCACAACAGTATCAGGCTTCATTGACAAGCATGTCAATCTGTGCAGACAAATCATCCGTGCGATAAATGCATGTAATCATGTTGCACGATTATGTGTTTCTGATGTGGATAAAATGTTGCAAAGCAGTTTTCCTGAGAGGATGCAAACGTTTTTTTCCACAACTATCCGTGTAAAAAAATATTTTCTTTTTTCCCCCCCTTTGCATACCTAATTTGCTTTTTCTCACTGATCTCATTAGGTGGGCGAAAAGCCCAGAATTCACATGACACCAGTACGTGATTGTGGTATGCTTGAATCTCCTCTGCAAAGCTCTTTTTTCCTGAAGGAGAGACTATAAATTAGTTGATGTAAACAGTGCAAGGGTATTTTCTTCCCTGTGAATAACAGAGCAGGATGATGTACTGTGTGTTTTAGAATACTTTCCAAAATTAACATTCTAGCACTGAAAGTATTTCGTGAATGTTATACTTACGGTATAAGAAATGTTGTCTTTTAAAAAAATAATCAGTTTAATTAATTATTTATAGAATGCATATATACTGTAAGTAAGCAAAGGTGTCTTGTGGTGTTGATTAGAATACCATCATAATCCTTCATACAAAATATTCTGAAACTTATATAATAATAATAGCTTTAATAGCGTTATAATACTGTAGCTTTAAGTGAAATGTTGAATTAAAGTAAAGCAAGAGATTCTGCTAAGGCTGGTGGCACTAACTATAATTATAAAAATTTATTATCTATTTTCATAATTAACACTGTTTATCTTAAGCCATAATTTAGATGTACTGAGAAGCATTGAAATGTGAAAAAAAGGTGGAACCAACTGAATCCGTTGCTTTTTTAAATGCCTCTCATTATATGACTGATTTTGATCATGGGACCATTTCTCTGTTCAGATCTGTATATTTCACTTTATATGTCAGTGTTTGTGTGCCAGCCTTTGTGGACAGTTTTACACATTAAGGCATCATAAACTTATCAGTTGCTCAGGTCTTTAAGGAGTCAGGAAAGTGAGAAATATTTTCAATGTCATCTATGAGAAACCGCAGCACCCTCACACATGTACAGTCTACTTTATTGATGGAATAATTAAGACATTGAGCGGCGTTCAAAGGTATTGTAACAATTCAGATAAAGTATTTTGGGAATCCAGGCACTGGCTGTCTTTTCGTAGCGATGAAGAAAGTCTTTTGAAATTATATTTGTATTTATATGATCTCTTGTCCAAAATATGAAGCTGTTTGTGGGGAAAAAAATGGCCGTATCGAAGTAGATGAGCAAAGTTCAGAGACGGATGGCAGAATACTATACAGTTGCTTCTGTTTAGAGCTCGGCTTTTCCAATATAGCTGTACCGGTTATACTCTTTACTTTTCCAACGACTCCACAGGGCATCCCAGATACGAACAGGCCTTGTAGGAAGCGATAAATCTTGCTTAATTCGTTGTTTGTCAATTCATCACGTTTTTTTTTTTTGGGCTTTTTGAGCAAAAATAAACAAGAAGGGAGGAAATGAACTTAAAAGCAGTATGTGACTAGTTTCTTTGATATTGCGAGATGGTGAGTATTCTGTGGCTCCTCGGGGTTGAGCAGTGTTAAAATTGTTTAGAGAATGCTGGCGGACCTCTTCCTGGAATAGGTTTTTCTCATGTCTGAGGGATGAGTCCTTGTAACTCCCTGCAGTGCAACTTGAAAACGCATCTTTGAGCAGCTGAGTTCTACGTGAGCTGCAGCCAGTCACTATTCAGTGTCCTTGAGACAAAAACACAGCTTAGGCTAAGTCCGGTAGGTCCTGTTTGGCTGTATTTTAGTTTCATGTGTTAAAGTAGAGGTGGTAGGGTTGTGTAGCTCTACGGAGAATGGAGAACGCCGACTAAGCTCACAGCCATCACGAACAATGCCTCTCATCCGCTATATGGGACTGTTATTAGGCAGCGGAGTACTTTTAGCAACTGACTGCTCCAGCTACGGTGCTCAAGGGAACGTTTCCGCAGGTCTTTCCTCCCGGCGGCTGTCAGGGTGTATAACACTGCCCTAGGCTAGGACTGTTAGCCCTTCATCTGCTCGTCTATGGACAGCATGTTTACTCCATTGTACTTTTTGGACACTCAATCTGTATAAACCTATGCGCATTTTGCACATATTTTATTGTTTTGCAGTGCCTATGAGCATATTTTGCACACACCTAACTCTGTATATTTATTTTATATTGCTGTACTTATTTTAATTTTTCGTCTATTCTGATGTCTGTTTTTGCTTCTCTTGGGCTGGGCTGCTGTAACACCTCAATTTCCCTTGGGGATCAATAAAGTCTATCTAACTAGCTATCTAACTATCTAACTAGCTCTGCTGCCTTACTGCTCTAACTCCAGAGTGGGGTGCTTTCTGTGTGGAGTTTGCGTGCGCTCCCACGTGCTGAGTGGGTGAATTAGTGTCTCTAAATTATCCGTGTGTCTCTTCCCTGCAACACCTTATTCTCATCTGAGGTGTATTCTCACCTCTCGTCCTGTGCTTGCTTCCACGACAGGCTCCTGGTGGCTGAAACAGTTTCCAATGTTAAATACGTAGGTCAGATTTATGGATAGGTGCAATACAAATAAAAGAATGCTGTATAAGCTTGTTTTTCTGTACTTATTTTTTGAATTTTTCAAAAATGCATGATTTTGTGTAGCCAGGCATCTGTTTTCTAAGATCTTTACCTTTGATCATTTGTTGTTTTTTTTTGCTCTGTAGTTTGAATATACAGTACATATACTCATTCGGTTACTAAAGTAAACAAACAGTAGCTGTGTTTTTAATTTTTAATTAAATTTATTCATGTTGCCAAAATGAAAAACCAGTAAATAAATCAATGCAATGTCCCCGAATTAACAAAATAACACAATAGCTACAGTTTTGATTAACTCATTTGTTTTTTCTTTCATTAGAAGAAGCATTCTCGAACAAACACCAGAGTTTGGAAGTGGAGAAGGAGTCGTTAACAGAGCAACAGAAAGAATATACTGGCAAAAGGTAGATCTAAACTTGGAATTGTGTAATCATGACTATTAAATGTTATTGCTATTTGTGAAAAATAAACATGTTTAATGGGAGGTCCTAAAATATTATTATATTTGACATATCTAATATATGGTGTATATTATGTTCTGTGTCTGAAGCAAAAAAGGTCATGTCCAACCTATTGTAAATTAAAGGGCATGCTAACAGGTATAGTATAGCATATACAGTATTTGGGTTTTTACATTATGCACTTCCATTGCAAATTACTATTCCACTTTTCCATAGCGTAGCGAGGATTAATCAGTTTTTAAACTTAGTAAGACATTTTCTAATTGCATCTGCAGTATATTGTACATCTGTTAAAAGTTGATATTCAAAAAATATTTTTCTATAGGTTGTTGCATTACAAAATACGGAATTATGCTATAATTATCCCAAATTATGTAACTCAGATACGGCCAGCCAAAGCCTTTTCTTTCAGTTTTTGTGTTTTTAGATGCAGTGCATGTAATTATTTACATTTCGGTGGCCTATTATATTCCACCAGCTAGTCACTGAAAGATTTGTCTCACAAAAATGGGTTATATGTTGAGTTGCAAAACAGACCATGGGTGTTTTGCATTATAAATGAACCACAGGTAATATGATGCCTGAGATTTAAATAAATATTTCCAGTAAGAAGAGTAATTCAAACAATCATTGCAGCCAATGAAATTCCACCGACAAAGTTCTGTAAAGCAAATGACTGAGAGAGGAGTCACATGAACCACAGGCATTGGAGGATTCTGGGACACATCTGAAACTCATAGCATGAGCATAATCACATCAGCACTTTCATTTGCCATTGGAAAAAAACAGCAATTTCCATACTTTTTATTTTTAAATAGATTTTTTTATCTATTTAAAATAATTGCTTTTCTTGTGCAGATGCTTAAAGTATTTGCTTTCATGTTCTTTCTTTTACTTTTCATCCGTATTAAATAAAAAAAGGTGGAATGGTTAACATGGAATGACAGAAAGCAAACTATCCAAGGCATTTTCTCACATTTAAGTTAGGTCCTTGTTCCAAAATGTTGTTTTTTTTTCTCTTCATGCAGTACAGAATAATTGCTGTCCATTGTTTTGGGGTGAAGCAGACTGCTTTTGGAGCCTGCAACAATTTGGATGTTGTTCTAAGATTCAGAGGAAATCATTAACAGCACTTTAAAGCCAGAGGCACATTTATCTAATATGTTTAAATACCTCTTCTCTCCTCATGTGGCCCCATAGAATTATCTTGTCATGATGCAGGAAATGTGCTGACTGTAAGACCATCCACTGTCTGTGTTCTTTTTGGAATCTAGAGAGCTGTTCCTAAAGACCAACGCACATCTCACCCTGCGCTGTCGACAGCTCCTGTCAGAACTCTCCTACATATATCCCATAGATGTGGTGAGTAGGGTGAATTTGACTTTTCTTAAGATGCCTCCTGTATGGAAAAATGTAATAAGCAAGATTAAATAACTTAAGTTTTGTATGCTACAGATCAGGGGTCACTGACCCTGGTCCTTGCCCTAATCTGTTTATTCTTGTTAGTCACCTGTTTAAAGATTAGGAAAACCTGTTTAAGCACACGATCAATTAATGTTTCAGTGAATGGAGCACTGATACTTGATGGCTGAAGTGTAGTCTTGTTCCACGTGATCTCTTAATTACTTAATTAAACACACACAACCTGTTTAATTGATTAGTTAAATTGTTTCCGGCCTTTAGAAATCGATGATCTAAAGACAGCCTATAACACCTCTGGACTGGAGCTCTCCAGGAGCAGATTTTGAGATCCTTGCTCTACACTGTGCACTGTAAACAGTTTGGACCTTGTATAGGAGAGAACCTGTCTATCCATTTCCAGTCTGCTTTCCCTGGTGATGGTGATTAGAGAGGGTATGTAGGGATACTCAGAATAGACACATTCTCTTCTTTCTGCGCATGAGTAGAATGAAAAAATTGTGAGCAGCGAGTTGATGAAGTTAATGAATTTTGAGCACTTTGTCACTAACACATTACGAGCATATGTTATTTTTTTTTCCAAATTGAAAGTGCCATTTGCGCTAACACACATTATACAATTCACAGAACAATCAAACGGATTATGTAATCTGTGGAGTGAAGCTGCCGAATTCAGAGGATTTTCAAGGTAAGCGCGGTTTAGACCGCTGAGTTAACCACTTAATTAATAGCATCTGGTTCTGCAGACCTGACAGTGCAGCCCGCAGGACAGCATCAGACCTTAACTGCCTGTTTCCAGCAGACCCTGCCAGTCAGCCTTAGCAGGACTCAAAAGAACTACTGAACATTAAACCTTCACGCTTTTTTAAAAAACTTTATCTGCAGTTTCACTTGCAAGTCAAGGCAGGTTTGTGCCCGGTAAGATGGGATACAGAAGATTGATTATTGAATTATTGTCAATACCCAGGAAGCGCCACTGGATTAACCTTGTGATCAGGAACCAAAGGGCAGCTGAGAATCGTGCACTACATCCAAACATTTTAGTGCTGAATTGATGGATTTTGCTCTTTTGTTTTATGCATATTGTTTAATACCTTTCGACACTTTCAAAAATGCAGAGCATAGTTTTTATGGATGCTTTTCTGGGGGTGCAAGGTATTTGTGTTTTTAAATGTTGTATTCTTTTTTTTCAGAAGAATGAGCACTATTGACAAATTTAGCACCCAGATAAAGTCAACTGATAATATATATTTCATTAAGTTGTGGGTGTTGGACACATTTCACCAGTCTAACCCATTTCATTCTCACCATGCTTTATTCATTCCGAGACATCATTTTGCGTCGTCATTGTTTTCATTTAAATGAAATCCAGTTCCCCATTACCCCCCTGCCGGTTGTCATAAGTTTGGAAAAAGTCTAACGTTTGCCTTCTCGGGTTCTGCAAACAGAAGCTGTAGAAATCGCAGTCAACTGCAGAGCGCCCACTGACACACCACTTTAAACACAATAAATTATGGATTCAAGCCGCTCCACGTTTTTTTTTTAATTTTTGAAGCATGAAAAAACGAGTGGCCCAAGTGTCCACCCTCTTTATTTAACAGTGTGATTCCTGTATCGGAACCAGAAGGAGCGTGCATTTGAGTGTAGTCCTGTTGAATAAGGACATGGTACGCTCCTATATTTGGTTGCATAGTGCTCTCCTCTGATACTGATATTGCCAATCCTGTAAACGCCAGTGTGGTGGGTAAGGGGGGGCTCATCTGAAACACTAGCGGATGAGGCAGCTGCAGGGTGGGTATATTAAATGGTCTGGAAATAACAGAGTCATTATGCAGGAAAGCATCCCCGATCTCCAGCGCCTCCCCTCCCGGGTAGCTCTTAACCCCCTCCTTAATGAAAGCTGGCTAATGGCTTCAGAAATCCTCTGAATGATTCAGGAATTTAGAAATTGCTTCCTGCCCGTTTCAAGGGGTGAGCCTGTAATTTCTACCCGGCTGCTTGGGAGGACAGGCGGGGTGAAGGCAGGGAAGGCCAGCTTGGCGCTTGGGATCGGGCGGATGGGAAAACCTCTCAGGGACCTCTTCCGATCTATATATATATATAAAAAAAAAACCCCAGGTTAAAACAACAGGTTTAAAACCTACATTTTTACGGGCGGTAATAGACATGCCACTTGCTTGAACTCGATCCGCATGCAATAGCAGTAATGCTTCCCGAGAGAGGGCTCGGAGAAGGCCGGGAGAGGGGGAGAGGTCAAGTTCAGTACGGCGAGCTCTCTCCAACGGTCACTGTGTGAAATTGCCAGGATAATCGGGCCGGTCCCCTGCAAAGGGCTGATTTTACATAAGCATCTGTCCCACAGTACCATAGAAGTCCTTTTGTTCTTTTCTGTAGCATCTGTATATGTGGACGTAAACTGAGTATATGCAACTAAATACATCTGCACACAAAGATATATATATATATGTGGATATATAGATATATGTGTTTGTGCATTTGTATTTTTTATCTATGTGCTTCCTATGGGATGAATTATTAGTTTACATTTGGAAAGTGTTATTCATCTCATTTCCTGCATGTCACACTCGTGTGTCTTGTGGAAAATCAGATTTCACTTGCCGGAGCAGACAAGCGTGACTTCAAAGAGCCGAGCAGTAATGAGAGCCAGGTTTGTCTGCGGGGCTGAGCCTCCGTTACCTAGCCCTGCCAAGCCCCCCGTCCCGTGCGCTTGTCGTTTATTCTAGTTGCCGCCCGGGCTCTGGGACTGGGGGGGGGGGAGGCGAGGTGTGGCGGTGCGGCCCGAGAGCCCTGACACGAGAACTCGGCGTTTTGTGTTGCAGCCGCCGGGGCCTATTCCTACAAGGATGCCTGTGGCTGTTGGGGGCACAAAACCGTATTTGCGCTAAGATGTAGTGAGTAACGTCAGCATGCGTTGTGCCTGGAGTGTGAGGGGGGTCGGCAGAGCCCGCTCCGAGCAGGGGCCGGCTCCCGTTTGCGAGAGAGACGCGCCCCGCGGCCCGGCCGTCCGCCCTTCCCTCATCGCGGAGGAAGCGGGTGTCACTGTGCTCTCTAGCTCAGTCCGGCCTCCGCGGAGAGAGCCGGGCAGGCTGCTTGCATGTAACGGGTTCCAGATCGCGTTCAAATGAAACGAATGGCTAAGGTTTGGATTTGGTGCAGATGGGATGTGGCCACTGGAAAGGTGTCAAATGCAATTCAAATAAGATAAGGATATAGCCGCTCCTTGAAAAACTGAATATGCGGGAATGTAGTGGGCTTGTTTAAAAAGCCTGGAGATGTGTTCATTTCCTTTCAGGAAAGGGCTTATATACAGTCTGTTAAGTAATTTTATTTTCTGCGTTTCACAATACTAACAAACTGAATGGCAAGTGCAGTCATTTGTACGACCCATTCTTTGGAGGCTGACTGTTGTCTCTCCGATGACATTGTACGCAATCACCTCACGCAGGGCGTGAACACAAGAGTGTCGGCGACACTGAGTAAATGGAAGAGGTGATGAACCGCGCTGTGACCTCAGAGAAGGCAAACTGTTTCTGATTTCTTTCAAAGTCAATATTTGGTTTTAGTTTCTGATCACTGAGCATCGTCATGATGTTTTTTTTTCCATCAGCAGAACATGTCACATCATGTTCATTCATCTGTTTCTGTGTGCCACACCAGCAACTGGAGTTATTAAGGTGCTGTCTCAAACTTTTTTGGAATCTCAGTGGGATTGTTGACATTGTTGTTTGATGAAACGAGCATGCAGATAAATAGTTCTGTATGGTATGTGATGTTTATTTTCCTTGTGCCAGAAAACCCTTGTGCATTGTTTTTAAAGCTGCAATTTAATGCTATTTTAAAATGTACAAGCATATTTTCACAGGAACTCAAGATTATTTTTTTTAGAAAGGTGGCCTCCTTGTTCTTCCTATTGAGGTTATTTTTAAAAAGGAAATCAAACTAACAAACATTTTATAGTATCTTCTATAAGGGTTTGCCATATCTACCAGATTTGCCAGATTCGAAACTATTAATGCTGAAAGTTCAGACATCTTTCATCAAGCTGAAGTACAGCCTCACTGGACATGTTCCTGCAGTGCGTTTAACATGAAACAAGTGTTCAGTACTAATAAAACTCACACATGCCAGTTGTTGTTTTTTTATCTCTTCATGTGCAACAACATTTTTGGAATTAAATTGAACTTTCAGCAATGTGGCCTTTTTCAAAAGTGAAGTATTGATATATGCTTTTAATTAGTCATTTTATTTCTCTCTCTGTTATGGGCTGTGAATTCTTGTTCCTAATGAACCAATGGAAAGGATCATTTGGATCCATGTTTATTAAGGCATGATACTGTATAATGCATTTTAGTGGAGAACAGTGCTCTCTAAGACTTTACATGTTGTTAAGGCAAAGAAATAACTGTATAGTCCTGTAAATTAAAAAAACAAAAATAAATGTATTTTCCTAAAAAAGTACAGTATATATTCATGTGCTAAATATTTTAACCATATCTTTCATTTTTCAAGTCAGAATGGATCATTAAAAAAATCTTTTATTACTCTTGTTAAACAGCTTTATATTGGTATATTGTATATTGAACAGGTAGTACGACTTCTAGTGAGTCATTCATTTAAAAAATGAGAGTAAGGATGCTGCTTTCCATTTTATTTTATCCACTAGTAATTTTTTCAGCTGCCCTATAATCAGCGAGTTTCCTCTTGAGTTGAATCGGTTAATTAAAATGAATATCAGCCTCAAGCAGTAGCCTTCTTTTCAGTGAAACAGGGGAGTCAGAAATACAAAACCAAATGCGTGACTAAAATGTTTCTGCCAGAAGTAATGCATTTATTTTCATCGGAAAGAGACCAGTGTGTGAAAACTGAAAACACTAACCTTTAAGAGTTTTGCACGCTCTTAAAAGCTTGTTCTTTGGTACTTGGAAGCCTTCAAGAAAAAAAAAAACATTTGGTTGAACTTTTTAACAATTGAGCCTGGCATTAACAAAATGATTACTTTTATTTAACCTTGAGACGCAGTTTTTCATGGTTTGAAAAGAAAAGCCCGGACTCCTGAAAGGATGTCTGTTTTTGTGAAGTTGGAAGCATTAACAGCAAATTCTCCTCTTGTTGGTTTTGTTTTCCTGGCGCAGCAAAGGATGATGGGAGTGTGGCGGTTGCCCTGGGTTACACAGCACACCTGGTTCTGATGATCTCCTGCTTCCTGCAGATCCCTCTCAGGTATCCCGTAATCCACAAAGGTTCCCGCTCCTCCATCAAGGACACCATTACCGACAAGCTGAGCGAGAAGGAGAGAGAGTAAGAGCCTTGTCATGCCTTCCATTATTCATTAATGTTTTTTATTAATTTCTCTGAGCCAATACAGCAAAGCTGCCCTGTTCTGTCCACACTGTTAAGAGTGCGTAGTGTGAAAATCGAGGCCTGGACAGTTGCCTTCAGGCCTGCAGTTACAGGCCCTGCTCTCGGTGTGGGAGGTCTGAGCAGTTAATATTTCTCTCATCACCTTGCTCATCTTTCCTCTGCCTTGCCCTTTATCTTCCCATCTGTAAATTAATTCTTTATCCTTGATACTTCTGTCAGTGTGCATTATATATATTTGGCACACTCTCTAGACATTTCTTTACACCAGCTGCTATGAGGAGAGACCATAAAAAAGAATTATAGATTTGATTGTTGACTAACTGTCCTTAGTGAGTAATGCGTCTATGAAGCTTCTCTTTTTTCCATCCTGGACTACTTGTAATGTTGTCATTCTAAACTTCTGAAATATTGAAGATGTTTTGTTTTTCTCTTCTCGGGTGTTGGGCGGGGAGGTGCAATCCACGTTTTTTTGCAGACTTTTTTGTGCTCGCAGTTGTGAGCCACGGTTATCTGCTCATTTGGAATGGGTTATTTCACCTTCATGTTGTTCTTTATAGGAGACCAGAGTAATGCCTAGGTGTTAGAATTTATGTTCACGATAACTTTTATATGTCATTCTTTAGCATTTTCAGCGTCCCTTTTTTTCTTGAAGTCCCGATATTACTGTAAAGGTCTAAAGATGTGGTACACATCCCAGGATTCCTTTAAGGCCTTCCAATCCCTGTCCTTACTGGTGCGGGTTAGGAGTGTACTCTCCAGGGCACGTCAGTCTTCTCCCATGGCTCCGATTCCGCCGAACTGTAATATGGAACTATATCTCAGGGGGGGGTAGCATGAGACTGTGCCACTCGTTTCAGTTGTGAAAACAGTTACACTGGGGGAGGCACTGAAGGGTCTTAGGAGCGACCTTGCAGTGCCTCCTAGTTTCTTCTTCATTCAGGTCTGCAGGGCGCTGACACTTAACGAAAACACACGTCAGCGGGGGAAAAAACGAGCTCGCTGTTGCGTGGGGTCTCGTTCACAAAATGTTCAAATGGGATGAGAGGGCGTGGAAGCCGGGACTGAAAGGGGACCAGGATGGAAAGCTGCATTCGCAATTGGCACAATAAAAGTCCTGGGAAGTCTTGTACGCGTGGGGGGCCCGCACATGTCTGGAAGCTTTGTGGAAATGCTCACGTGCTGCATCTGCTGAATGCGTGTTCCAGTCTGCAGGCGACGTGGGAAGGCAGTAGTAATTAGGGTTACGATATGCCCGCAGCACTCGCGGGCCCCCGGCGGTGAAAAGCAGGTGCAGGGACACGCAGCGCAGGAGGTTTGTCCGATCAGGGGGGGCAGTGCTGGCACACAGGGAGAGGTGCTGTTGCTCAGGGAAGGACCTGAGCCCAATGGACAGAGATACCCCAAATTTTATTTTAAGTGTGTCATTTTTATTCTGCAAAATAACAGTGGTTAAAAAGCAATCGGCCCACATGTTCTGCATTGCTGTCTGTCCTTTGTTATCCGTGTTGCCTATCTATGGCATCAAAACACTTAGATGCCCATCATCTTGAGACACACGTTCGGAATAAGGACATCATTGTTTAGGAACTTAATATAAACGTACTTTATGCTATGATATGCTTATGATTTCTAGGGCACACATATACATTACAGACTTTCACCTTTGTGAACGCAAACTGGTGCTTATACTCCTTATCTCTTTTGTAGACTTTAACTAAATTTATGTGAATGAGGCCTGTGATCTCCAGCAAGCTCCATTGCTATGCCGAAAGGCCGGCTTTTAAAGTCAGCGGAGAAAAAGAAAATGATTTTGGCTGGGCAGCCGTAAGTTGTTTAGGGACATATTGTGAAATTAATAATGATTCAAATATCCAGTTTCTTTGGTAAGATCAGAAACCTTACAGGAGGACAGACGGTTGGCTGGTTCTTGCATAGAGGATACGAGTCCGACCCCTCCCAGTCTCCACAGATCATAAATGTATTTATCAGGAGCCAGAAGGCGAGATGTTCCTGCTGCTGCTCGGGTGCATTTTTAAGTTGAGATTTATTTCGGATTCCTTCGGACACCATATGTGCTCTCAGATCTCTTTGCAGCAGCTTAACATTTCTGAATGATTACCTGTGCTCTCCCAGCGTGCATGTAAGCACTGTATCAGCTGTCCAGAGGGACCTGTACAGATTCTTCACTCGGCCTTGGTGTCATTTTCTCTTGGGTGGAGAATAGTCCTTCATCTCTCTTTGAAATCCAAGCTAGGGGCTTTGCTCTTCTCTTCTGAATTCCCAGTGTGGTTTTGCTGGGAGTTTTCGCTAATAAAAAGCTTAATAGCCAGTGTGTTTGCCTCGTCCCTCAAATGCGGCAGCTGGAATCGTAATAGACAGTGAGACTTTTCTGTGCTAAACTGAGATTTGTGGTAGCTTCTTGTTTTAGATTTAGGCATCTTGTGTTTTCACTTGTGGTGCAGTGGTAGGTGCAGGCAGTGTAATGCACAATTATGTTTGCTGCTATTTTTTATTGCGTTTTAAACTAGTTTCCTATTGTTGTTCAAAGCTGGAACAGGTGAGTGTTACAGCCTATAGATAAGACCCGAGTTCAGACTATTATCATTGAATGTTTATGTTTTTTTCTAAAGTTGCAGTAAGGCTTTTTGTAAACAAATTAATCCTTTTGTTCGGTTTTAACACCCCCATACTTCTCTCAAAGCCAAACCTATACATATTTACCTTAAAGAATGATAGATTTGAATGGAATTCGTGTGTAGATGAGATTGTAACCATAGATGCAGAGGAAGTGTATATTTGGTTTTCACCTCAGAATACACAGACAAAAAATCAGATAGTTTTTAAAGGGTGACTTAATTATTTAACTTTACTGTTTTATTATATTTCATATTTATGTGTTGCACTGTTGCTGAGCAAAAAAAAATAGAGACTCTATAAACAGTAATAATCTGGAGGAAACTTATTATATACAGTAGCACCCTTGGTATCCAATATCTTGTGAATTTAAGCACAGGTTTCAAACTTTATTCTATGTGAATACTGAATGCTTCTCTGACAAACACCATTTCCTTCCTAAGTGATTTTTCTGCTAAGGAGTAGTGGTGATTCAAGCAAGGATACAGCTTAATTATGGTTGGAATGATTATGATTAAAATAATTTGTTTGTACAATCAGTGTTCTCCCTGTATCTGATCAGCAATAGGGTTCTATTACATTGGTGAGATACTGTAGGTGTATGAATAAGTCAGTCAGTGTAGTGTTACAACCAGCACAGTGGAGGAATGATTAGGACTCTAGACTTGTAATTGTAAAAAATTGTAGGTTAATGTCTCAGGTGAGGTACTTCTTTGACTCAGATTGCTTTACTGAAATGCCCAGCTTTTTAAGATGGCGTAGAAGTAACACTATGGATAGATGTGTCAGCCAAGTAAAGTAATTATGGTAATGAAACATTGGAATAAAAGGAACTGTAGTGAAGGATAGGAATTTAACGCTTTGACATTATTCTTTAGATTGAGCCACAGATCATTTTGTTTTAAACATACCGTTAAATGGGT